AGAGTAATAATCACAGCAAGCAAGGTAATCTACGAATATCCCAATACAGATCCCAAAGACTGGATGACACACAGCATCAGGAGCAGAACATAACTTTTAATCACTTCACCTTCTTTTAAAGCATTCTCACATGCAAGGTAGGGATTTACAATAATTAGTACAGTATTCAATCATATCTGAGTAGCCACCCACACATCTCCTCCCCTTAGAGTGACACATAATCCCATTATGCAGGACACAAATTCCCTGGGTTTCTGGATGTACCCCTAAACACAGGAGTGCCCCTTTAAATACTACATCCCCTGGTAGTGCTGATCTGGGTGAGTGACATATCCAAAAATCACCCAGATCGGACCAGGGGTTCGGGAGATTTGTGGAAGTAGTAAAAAGACCGACCGCGCTGGAGGGAACAGCCGAAATTGGTTCCATGCGTTTTGGCCCTGCGGTCGGTCACAGAAAAAAGGAATAAACTGCACGAATGACTTGGGCTATGGAGACTAGGGAGGAGTCAAATGAATCCCCTTGTTCGGGTGTTTCTTTCTATCGAACGGGTGGCCGTTCGGTAGTTTCTATACGAATTTAAGGGCAGTGTGGAGGTCTCAGCGGTGTTTGCCTAGCCGGGTGTCCGAAACACCGCTGTTCGGGAGTTTAAAATGGCCGCCGCCATGTGTTTGTCTCCCGAATGACGGCCACCCAGAGGATAAAGCACATACTACACGAATTGCCAATTACCCGTTTGCAACATTGTTGCGAACGGTAATTGGAGGCACACTTACCCCTGGGGTGGTCTGATTGTTCGGTAGTTTCACTCGCATCATAACTGGAGTGATTTTACCAAACAATCAGACGAATGCTACATACAGTTCACATACACATGGTACAATTCAACCGAACACATAGGAATTATATATAATTTTGAGGACAGCCCAATGCCATCCTCTACAACACATATGAGAGTGCATCTGTTGGTGAGATAGAGTTCAGGAGGGAGTAAATTGTGGATATTTGTAATTTCTGAATTGGGGAATTTATATATGCTTTTTTGAATTGTATGAGAGTAGAAGTAGCCATGTTTGTCTTAGGTGGTTCGCTCAGAAAGCTAAGACAGGTGAATCTGCAGATAACGGCAGTGGTCGAATGTGTTAAGTGGTACAGTGTGTGACAGATCAGTGATTGACATTATCCGTCAATTTTGAAAGAAATGGAAAATTCTGAGCAGGCCATTGTCTTAAAAAAGTGGGAAGTGCTGTGGTGTCATAATTTGGGTATGAATTATTTACTTCATAGGACTATAGTTAGTGGGGAAGGAATGTTTACCAGTGGGTGTATAACTCTATCCCATAATTGTATTGGTGTGGTTAAGGCTGGCATCGTTGGAGGGATGTCTGGTCTGGGTTTTTTTTGGAGTAGCCAGAGGAGGAGAGATGGGAAACATCTACCCAAAAGACTGTGTTCTAGATCCACCCAAAATTCTATATTTGCCTGTACATGTAGATTTGGTATCTGTCCAAATTGAGCTGCCTTAAAGTAGTGGTAGAAATTGGGGATGCCCAGACCACCTGATCTGCTGAGGTGCCAATTTTCTAAATCTGTTAGTGCTTGATTGTAGATTGGCTGGGAGGTGTACACCAAGGTTTCATTATAATGAAAGGGGTACATCTGTTGAAGGTTGTGCAGAATATTTGGCTGGATGCCTATCGGAAGTGACTCAGTTTTCCCTAAATTTAGTTTGTACCCAGATATCATGGCATATTCATTTAGCAATGCGAGAAGGGGTGGGATTAAGTTCTTGGGACAAGGCATATAGGATTGAGGACAGGGGGCAACCATGGCGCGTGCCGTTATAAATTGGAAACAATGGACCCCCAGTGTTGGGAATAAGGAGTTTGACAGTCGGGTGTGTATACAAGGCTTTCATGGCCTTTATGAGTGGTTCTGGAAAGCGAAATTTCCGGAAAGGTCGCAAAAATAAAATGGCCAGAGCAAGCAGTCAAACACCTTTTCGGCATTTAGGGAGAGGAGTAGCATCTGTATTTTCCTATTGTTTAGGTTTGTATTAAGTCAAACGTGCATCTTGTGTTGTCATACACCTGTCTAGTAGGTATGATCAGGGTGAAAGAGTTTTGGTAGGAAGGGATGGTGTGTGAGCAATTTAGTAAATATTTTCATGTCGACGTTCAGTAAAGATATAGGGAGGAAGTGTCCCGGTTCCAAAGAAGATGGAATATTTTTTATCGTCAGGACTCAAGAGGTTTTTTTTTCTGGTGTTTATTTATTGTTTATCTACTCAGTCTAGGATGCCGTAACCTGAGGAAATCACAGCAGTGCTGAGGAAGACTCGGCGGTAGTGAAAATATGAGTAAATAATTAAATAAAATGTATTTAGTTTTTATTTTTATAGCGTTGGAGAAGGCTAATTGACAATGGGCATCAGGGCTGTAAAGTTAGGAATAGAGATATGTTTTTTTAAACTCGTTTAAGCCCTAAAGTGCTCTAAACTGATAAATGTTATTTTCAAAATTATGTGTAAAAACAAGAAATATACATAGAAACAACTAGGGTAACTTGCTAAGATGACCACTAGTGAAGAACCACTGCACTGATCAGTACTTTTAGATTGTTCTGATGTTTATAGTGTCCTGGTGGAGTTCCTATGGCAATGAATTAGGAAATGCGCCCTTTTCTTGCTATATGTCCAATATGCAAAATGGTAAACGCTAAGTAATAGTCGATATCAGTGGAGACAGACATGAGTATTGTGCCGACGCTAAAGGGGCATTTCCAGCACCATAAACCGCTACATCCTGCAGTAGTGGTTATGGTGCGCAAGATTACAGCACTGACACGGCTCCTGGTAACTGAAGTGCCAGGAGCTGAAGAGGACCTGCAGGGCAAGGCAGTGAGGGACATTTTGAGGTAAGTAAAACTTACCTTCCTCTTCACTCCATAGCCACCGAATCCTTACCTGATCTGTTACTTTCAGGGGTCTTTGCATGATATGACCCCCAAAAGTGACAGATCCACTTTAACGGCTGTTCTATAGCGCTGTACAATGAGTTAACTAAGCACACAAGTAACTGTGACAGAATAAGTCATTACACAGGAACACATTATGATGAGGGATGTTCATACAGTCTGGATAAGCACAGAGACAGTATGTGGTATTGCGGCTCACACAAGAGCAAGTTTCTCTGATTAAGGTCCTCCGATTGAACTCCCACTTCTCTTGGGTGTCAGCAATGACTATAGTATTCATCAGTCCTGTAGAATTATTCAGCTAACGTGGGCTGCACTTGCAGGTCCACCCTTCCTGAATTAGATCACCAGAGAGACTCTCCAGTGATATCTCAGGGCTTAATCCCTATATTGAAAGTAAAGACAAGAGTTCAAAAACGCTCACACACAATCCAGTTTATGAGCGTGAGCATTTAACTGGAGAAATAGTTAACAATGTGGAGTATACACTTGACCTAAAGGTAAAGAGAGCAGGTGTTTGTAATCAAAGCCTTGTTAACTATTTCTCCAGTTAAACGCTCACGCTCATAAACTTGTTTGCGTGTGAACGTTTTTGAACTCTAGTATTTACCAATCCTATAGGATCCACCAAGAATTCAAGAGTTGCCTCAAACCAGCAGGTGAGTGTACACTTTAATGGACATTTTCATGGTTCTAAAACCTCTAACTTTTATTTTAGAATGTCACAAATATTCATTTGACGCATCTGGTCTAAAGGGTGCAGTATGGTTATAATTTGAACAATGAGTATTGTTGTGATTTTATTTTTTCTAAAATACCAACACATTCAGCAGTGCTGTAAAATTAGATATAATACCACATTTTAAATTTGACATTGGAGTCACATTCAAGACCATTATATCATAAACATGTACATATTTTGTGTTCTACGGACATTATATTTTTAGCAGCTGTATCTCTCTGTCCTTCTGTGGAATTCAATAGGGATATTTTCTTGGGATACTTAGGACAGATTGTGAGACAAGGCACGTGGAATTCTCATTCTCACCCTGATTTTAATGTGAATGTTCAAGACTTAAAAAAGGTAAGACAGTTTGTCTTCTGTTTGGTGCCCATTTTCTTTGAAGTGGGAGACAAGAGGATGATGCAATGTGTAAAAAATAAAAATAAATAATTTTTATTCCCTTTTGTACAATAACAACAATTATGATGAATGTTTTTAAATTAATTATTTCAGCAACTCTATTCCTTTGATGAATCACTGAAACCTTTATGGCGGCATTAAATAAACTGTTCCGTCCTCACACTTCATTTTCTCTCTTTTAACTGTGTCATCTAATATTTAAGATCTAATTTTATGTAACATCTCTTAGCAGCCAGCAATTCCTATTTATGAAAGAAAAATTTTGGTTCATCCGATTTAGTTAATCTGGCAAAAAAAAATAGATCAGGATGAATCAAAATGCATTACTAAAAACAATTCTGTACATCTGAATGTCATTTAAAACATGTTCATAACAAACAAAATTCCTGAAAGCCAAATATTACAGCTGTAATCAAAATTATTCAACCCCCATTGAAAATCAGGGTTATTGTCAAAATGTACAGACTTTCAGCTGCTTTCAATGAACAAATCAAACAAAAGCAATTGAAATAGCTCAACGCAACAAATGCTTCAAGTGGTTTCCCCAAATTCAACTGAAAATGCTACTTCTCTAGTCTGAAAATTATTCAACCCCCTGAATAGAATCCCTCACAACAGAACAAATATGCTAAACAGTTGTCTCAAGCAAGGGCTTCATTAGTTGCACCAGGATTGCTTGAGTTGGAACACCTGAAATACCTTAATTTGGTAGGGGTTTATTGTGTGTCACATTTGACTGCATGTTAAAAATATATTCTGGAAAAACAGACCCGGCGATGTGGATACATTAAAAACTCTATAAAGACTATTTAATATCAATAGCTAGGCCTACAGTTGTAGGAGGGGCATTGTCCTCTATTTAAGCCCACTACTCACGTACACCTGTCCCGTTTGTTTCCTTAGCGTTGTATGACGCTGGTTCCGGTCGCCTTTCCTCTTCACTACTTTCTTGCTCCTCATGGCTTTCGTTCCTCCCATCCACCGCTGTGTTGCTGCCGTTTTTCGTTCAAGCTGCACTGCTTTTATTTCACTGTTTTTTTCCCATGTGCTTTCGTTTGTTTTCTCCCAAACGGGTCTCGCCATTCGGGAGTTTCTCCTTTCACATGTTTCCACATGTTTTCCCTTGCTGTGTTCGTGGCTGTTTTGGCATTTGAACGTTTCACAAGAACGTCTCTCTTATTTAACTTTGCTTTACTTTCGTTTTTTCCTTCCCGAAAGCTCCTCTTGGCCGAACGATGTTTTCGTGCTGTCTCCTCTCCTCGTGGTTTGGTGTGTAGGTTTTCCGCCTGACCTCTACTGATGGTTTTGGTTGTTGCTTTTTAAAAAAAAAATAGAGAAAGAGACTGGGGGAAATTCTACTTTTACGTCTGGGTTCTTGTCATTTATTTTGATATTGATTAAAAAAATTTAAAAAATTAATACATTCAAATTATTACGTAAACTAAATTAAACCAGCAAACCTTACAGTGGTTTCTGATTTCCGGAGTTTGTGTCTTCCTCCTGTTGGTTTGTTTCTTATTCATCTGGTTTTCTCTTCGCTGCTTTGCTCTTTCATGTCCAGGTTCAAGTTTCCTTTTACCCCCATGGTCTTGTCTAATTTGATTTTGTTTTTCAGGTTTTTTTAGTGCGCTGTCTCTCTGGGCTGCATTTTGCCCTCCTTGCCTCTCATGCTACTCTACCTCCTGGAAGGTACGTATTTTTGTGTGTGTTTTTTCTTTTCTGTTTCTGTGTCCACGCTCTGGCCCATACAGGCCCCAGGCGGCCATTCACCTGCTTAATCTGCACTCCAGATACAGTCTGACTTACGTTGCTGCCTCGTACCTCCCCTGTGTTTTCATTATACATTTCCCCAGGTACGTCCTGTCTCGCACTTCGCTACCCCACCTAGTCTAGACATGGCTGGCTGTCAGGGTCTTAGGCATCCAATAGTGGTAATCTCCCCTGGCTTTTTTTAACTTTAGGTTAGTGGTCCCGCAAGGCCAACACCCATACTCATACTCGGAGGAACTACGCCCCTCGGGCCAAATCATAGTTAGACGCCTTGCATGTGGCATAGAGAGGGCCTCACCTGTCACTCCCATTCCATCTAATGCTTTACGAGTCACCAATAGGCCGACACCCCGCCACAACATTCGTGGCAACGAAATCCCCTCACGCCACCACATAGAGCCTCTCAAGTCGCTTGGCATCTAGCAGGGCCTCACCTGTCACCAACTTAGTTTACTTGTTTTGCCACCTTGCGGCACTAGCTAGCTTGCCAGCTCACACTGGTCCTACACTTACACTGGTCCTTTTTCTTGCTCTAATTTATCACTTCTTTCTTTTAGAATGGATCAAGTACCAGAAGGTGGCGAAGACTTGTTCCTGTCCAGCACTCCGGCTAGGTCTGGTACTCCTTCTCGCAGGGGAGATTCAGCCACACCTGCTTCCTTCAGATCCTGGGCTATTCTTCACCTCACGGCAGAACTTCAGAGACGTCAGATCCCGTTCCCTGCATCCGCTAGGAAGGCCGAACTGTTCAGGCTGCTGCATTCCTCCTCGGCCCACGAGGACGCTGGAGAAGGCCCAAGTGGCTCTGACCCCTCTGATGTGCACTCCCTGTTGTCTTCTTTTGTGGCATCCATGGAGAAAATCAACCAGAGGTTGGACAGACTGGAGACTGCCTCTCGGGCCGAGTCCCCGGTCAGCCTTCCAGCTTCAGTTCCGTCTGACCCTCCCTTGCCTGGCCAGGGTAATTTGTTGTGTAGTATTGATACCCCTCTGGATGTTGACCCAGCTCACATGGTCCCGGCCGATATTCGGAAGGATATCTTGGACGGCAAGAACGTGAACCTGGTTTCGCTCCTCATTGCCTCTCAAGATATCGTTGAGAACAAGACTTATGCCTATGGGGATTTGTCAGTCGTGGTCAAGGCCCAGGTTTAACAGGAAGCTTTCTGTCCCTGAGTTTGTCCTGGCGTTTGGGCTATTCAGGCATGTTTTGTGCTCGGTCTACCCTGCTAGGAGGCAGAAGTTGGACCTTTACATGCACAAGCTGGTGGACTTTTATGACTACCACAGGTATTTCTCTGCAAAAGTGTCTGCAGCTTTCACACAGTTTGGTGCCAGGTTGAACTGGGGTAAGCTGGACACGGAACTGTTCTGCAGACACTTCGCGGGTCTGAGGACACCAGCTTGTGCTGTCTGCTTCTCCACGTCTCAATTCAGGAATCTCTGTCCCAATACGGCCGAGGCTTCCTCCGGCCTTGTTGTTCCCTCCCCTTCCCCGCAACCTGACAAGGTCATCAAGTACAAACTGGGTCGCCCCATTCTCTTCCTGGGGAAGTCCCGGGTCTGTAATAAATTTAATGCTGGTACCTGCAGTTTTAGTGCACGCAGGCTTCTGCACGTCTGTTCCAAATGCTTCCGGGCTCATACGAAAACTATGTGCCCCAATAAATTGTATCCTAAACCCTATTTGACCTCTGTTAATGTGTCGGCCTTATCAGCCGTGTTGTCTTCTCACCTATCCAGGTGTCTCACCCATCCTTGGTCTCTGGTTTTTCCGAGGGTTTCCATACAGGCATCATACATATGCCATCAGGTATCTTTGAGTGTAAGAACCTGCAATCAGCTCTGGCACACCCAGAGGCGGTTGACTCTCTCATACAACTGGAGGTCGTTGGGGATTCTTTTAGATCCTTTCCAAGCTCCGCCTTTTACGTCATGGAGGACTAACCCTATTGGTATTGTGACCGGTAAGACCTCCATGAAGCAGAGGTTGATAGTTGATCTCTCCGCCCCTCATTCGGCAGCAATTCCTAGTTTGAATTCCCTGATTCCGTCCAAAGAATTTTTGCTACAATATTCCACGACTGACAATGCCGTTTCAGCCATCCTTAAAGCTGGGGTGGGCGCTTGGCTTAGTAAAACTGACATTGTCAATGCTTTTAAACTTTTGCAGATACACCCTACGCTCTGGCACCTGCACGGTGTTAAATGGAAGGGCTTGTACTATTTTTTCTCCCGGCTTACTTTCGGTTCCAAAAGTAGCCCGAAACTGTTTGACCCCTCGCCGTAGTTTGAAGGAGGCCACTGCCCTTTTCGAGTTATTGGGTGGACAAAACTGAAGGTCCAGACACCTTCATTACATTCTTGAGTATTCAGATTGATATTGTTTCCATGCAGGCCAGTCTGCCCAAGGAGAAAATAGTTCACAATCTCGTGCATTGATGAATATATTCGCACCAGGTCTTGCTGCTGGATGGAGTTACTATCTTTGCTGGGGTCATTGAATTTTGCTATGAGGATTATCCCACAGGATCGGGCATTTATATCTCGGTTGTTTTCCCTGTTTCCCGCTCTCCCTCATGATGATAGCCGGATCACGCTTGATGACCATGCCACAGCGGATCTGCTCAAGTGGCAGAGGTTCTTGCTTTCCTGGAATGGGAAGAGTATGTTCCTCCCCGAAATTTCAGAGGCATCTCCCACGATATGGACAGATGTGGCGGCCATTACGATGTGGCGGCTTCTCTGCCATTTACGGTTCTGAGTGGCTCTGGGGTGCCTGGCCAGCGGATGTCCTGGGCATTGAGTGTTTTTCCACTACCTCTGCTCTTTTTGAAATTTACCCGATTGAAGCGGCGACTGTGGTTTGGGGTGGGGCGTGTTTGGGTTGTCCAGTTCGTTGTTTCTTGGACAATCAGGCCACGTGTCACATTATTAATAAAGGGCGTTCTTCCCCTCTTGTTATTATGAGGTTCGTCAGGAAATTGACTTGGCTGGCGGCTAGTCATCATTTCTTTCTGACCTGTATTCATGTGCCAGATGTCACAAATATTGCTGCTGACAGGCTTTCTCGCAGCTCTACTTCACTGTTAACTTTACATGGGTCAGTCCTTACCCCAACTAAATTTATGACTTACGTCAGATCATTGATCACGAGGCTAAGTCTCAACCCTTCCAACTATTCTGGCCACTCTTTCAGAATAGGGGTGGCTTCCACCGCCTCTAGCAAGAACATACCTGTACATGTAATCAAAACACGAGGTCGTTGGAAGTCCTACGCATGCTCACTGTACATATCACAACCAGTACAAGAACACAGACATGCCTTTCATAATATGTCCATGTAATTCATGCTCTTCCTTTTGTTGATTGTAATAAATTCTAGCCTGTATCTATTTTTGCCCTCTTTATTTCCAGGCCTACTGCTACGTCGGTTCTGGCACACCTCAACCGACTTTTCCTCTTCTTACACCTTGCTATACCTTCTACTCTCTTGTTTTGGCTTTTTATGCCTCTATCACAAATGTGAAGGCTTGGCCTGCAGTTGTGGGAGGGACATGGTCCTCTATTTAAGCCCACTACTCACCTCCACCTGCCCAGTTTGTTTCCTTAGCATTGCATGACCCCACCCTCCTCTCCCTTTTTATACTTACTGGGTGAACCCTCTTTATTTACAGGCCTACTGCTACGTTGGTTCCGGCACACCTAAACCGACTTTTCCTCTTCTTACACCTTGCTACACCTTCTTACTCTCCTTACATACTTGCTTCGGCTTTTTATGCCCCTATCACAATTAATTGTTAATGTGGTATACATCCTTTAAATAGTGTTTGTTGCACTAGGCTATGCTGATAGTTTGATAAAAGCCTCTGTGCAAGCCAAAATGTTTTTTTTTATAAAGTTGCTATCTGTGAAATCTGGAGTGCCTGGACCTGATTTATTTGTATCTGCTATAATGGGGGCATGTAAGCCCTGGGTCTGGAGCACCTGGATTCTGAGGCAAGAGTGAGATGCCCTTCAGTCTGTGTAAATAACAAACAAAAAGCAGACAAAATTGAGAATAAACTTTAGAGTTCAACAGATGCTTTAATCACTCTTTCTGAGTCTTTTTAGTTCACCTACCACCGGTGGTGGAATACACAGGATCACAAAGTTTGTGAGAGTGACGAAGCCGGGAGTTCCTTGCATCATAGGGGATCATAGGGGGCACAGTATCAGTGGAACCACTAGCTTGACAGTGGGGATTGCAAGTTGGTAGTGGTCCATGCACTTAGAGCCCCCAATGGGCATCTCTAATCAGGTGCCCGTTTAGG